GAGTTTAGAAGAACTGGTTATCTAAATTTACATTTTTACACCTTGCAAATTCATAAAAGCTCCACCCTCAGAGTATTTTTGTCAATGTTGTTGTACAGGGACATGCAATATTTGCAAAAAAAGATGATTATAATCTTAAAATCAATGTGCCAAAAGTAACAATGCTGTGTAAATGACCTCTTATATATGTGTGAATATTGGCTGTTCCTCTTTTGTATCCATTGAAGTATTGGCTGCTTGGGTTGGAGACTCCGTACAGAGACTTGCCACTACAGGAATTCTTTATTTGGGACTTTTCTCTCTTCTCTGATGAAAGGCACCAACAGCTGGCAGTGGTACACCACCACTCACTAAACCAAATCAGAAAGACTCTGAATTCTCCTCGTTTCCCCCACTTTGTTTGCCAAATTCAATTTACCTCAACATCACCTGGCACTGAGAAGCAACAAAAGAGAGGCAAAGGGGAGATCTGCTCTGAAGGCTACTGTAGAGGAAGAAGATGAAAAAAGAGATGTTCAAACGAGCTTTCTCTGGACCAAGGAGAGTATAGTGCAGATGTTTGAGGGTAAGCAAGGAAATTATTTGCCAGTTGGGGCTGTGCCTCACTGAATAGCTGTTTTGTACTGGAAATTCAAGGCAGTTTATTACTCATACAGATTCTGATGCACGCATCAGTCGTGAATGGAAGTTACATTTTTGCAGTTAGATTTAATGTGAATGTGAAAGCAGTTTTCAGTACAAATGGAATCAGTAATCTTGTAAATGAAGGAAAGCATGTCTTTGCATTAGCTCCACATGGGAATCTTACTTCAATCTTACCTGAAATGGTAATTTAAACAGTAATTTTTCTTGACATTCTCATGTAATTTATTTATTAACTATGCCATACTTTAAGTTGCACCACTGATGTCATCAGATTATTTTGGTTAATTTCACATATAATGTCTAAATTTCACTTCTGTCTTTTGAAGGTATTCTCTTTTATACGTTTTCCTTTATTGTCATCTCAGTTCTGATGGGTCAGTATTTTGACAGAAAATATTGTCACCATAAAATAAAAGCCAAATAAAGGCACAAATTAAAAAAACTAATGTATTGGTGCTATCTGATCCAGTGTATTACCCCGGCTATTTATATGAATTACTTTGGGCTCATTCACTGCCTCACTACCCTGAAAAAAATCCACCTTAAAATGAACCATACAATCATGTGTAATCAGTTATAACATTTTTTGATTTTATATACTAAATGAATTTCAGGCGAAATGGAGCCCCCTTTGTGTCTTTTACAAATGTATACTCAAACAATAGGCCTATATTTTCGTTCTCTTTTGAATGTTGAATATCATTTTTAAACGTAGCAGTAATTACATGAGACTGCATGGAGATGTGCGGACAAATTGAAGCTTGATGTAAAAACAGGCCTTGTCACACTGGATATGGTAATTCTGGCGCACAGGTGATAGTAATTGATTGCTTGCATATGGCAAGAATCATAATCAATCTTTCTCTGTCTCTTTTTTCTCTCCTCTCTGCCATGATCCTTTGTTTCTTTTCTCCAGTGTATCAGGGTTAGGACCAAGACAAGCTGCTGATGGGAAGCTCCACATGGGCTGCAAGCCCATTTAGTCTGCCTTCTCTCATTTCTGCCTATTGTCAAATTGAATGTACTTCTCTGAGTTCATAGTTATTTTTCTTCTTTTTTTTTTCTTCTTCTTTTTGTTTTTAAAATGTGCCACTGTTGAGCTGCCTCATGTTAATGGTGCTAAGAAAGCTGACAATTGTTTTTTTGTTTTCCCAGAGTTAACAAAAAAGAAATGCAAAATAGATTAGGTACCTAACCCTCTTTATGAATGTATATTATAATGTTATGTTTGATGTATTCACTTCATGATTCTTTGACATTGATTGGAATTACTTTCGCTCTTTTCATTAAAAGATTACCGAGCTTTATATATACTGTCTAGAGTTGTTACCAGAAGGAATCTTAATGAACTCTTGACACTACAAAATCTTGTATATTTTTTGTGTGCCAATTTGTAACATATTTTGTAAGTGTATATTTTTCTTAGAAAGTGCTGTGAAGTATTTGTGTGTGTGAGTAACCTTTTATGCGCCTCTATGGGCAGTGGAAAGGAAATACAATGACAAGTTTCTGGTTTTAAAAACCAAAATATGAAAGTATCAACAGAAAACTAGAAATATTTACATTTTGTTGGGAGTTTTGTAATAAGACCATGATCTTGTTGTGAGAGTGTTGTGTTACTGTGCTAAACACAAATAAGCAAAGAAAAAAATGAAAACCTGGAAAAAAAATATAATTTGTGAACAATTTGCTGTTTTATAGATTTTCATGTAAATTATTTGAGTATTATTTTGTTTTTTGTTTTGTTGTAACTGTTGCAAAGGTTTTAAATATTTGTGATCAAGCCTGTATGGTGATAATGTAATATTGGTAACTTGCTGAGTTTTGTAATAATGTTTATGGAGTAAATATACAAATTAAAATAAGATTTTGAATGCTGCTTTCTGAAGAGAGTTCGATTGTGTTTTTTACCACCTACCCGTTGCTGTAGCCAGTAACTAAAAACAGTAAACATAAAATCTCACTATTAACTTCTCTGTAGACAAATTCAGTCCATTGAAAATAATAATTAAGATGTTAGGAATGAAGCAATACCCCCCACCTCAATCTTTGTGGTACAATAATAGTAACAACTAAGAATAGAATCTGTTATGTTTTAATGTTTGTTCTTGCCACAAACTGTGTACGTGTAAATACTACCTTAATAATTCTAGTTAGTCTGTCCTGATTTGTTTTATTGGAAGATTCTTGGATGAACGGCATTTTAATTTCTACACAAGTCTGGCTTTGGCTCATGTTATTTTAATGTCATATCTAATTAGCACACAGGGTCAGGCATTGCTAGAGTGACTGCTCATCCATAACTCTGAGCTGGGCTGCTGTGGCCCACACTGGAACTCATTCTGGCATGCTTAATTGGAGCTGGAGATACTGTCTTAGACCATAAACAGATCCTCTGATGTATGCCTCCAAAATTGTCAGGTGGTATTAGCATTGTTTTTGTTCTTTAGTCACCCATAGCAGATAAGGGAGCAAGCAAATTATAAGATGGAATGTCTAATGCAATGGATCAGGTACACCTGTGGTTATTAAATGAGATCCTAGTTGTTTTGTCAGTGCGTGCTCACACTGCATAGACAGCTATAGACTCTCTCATTAGGACAATTGTTTGTCATTAGAGCAATTGTTTTGTGTTTATTTATTTTTTTAATCATTACTGATTACTTACTTCTGCATGTTTTTGTCCTGTACTTGTGTACTTATGAATCTACACACAACACACCACATCTTTGTGTGGCTGGCAGATTAGTTCTAAAAGAAAGAAACTTATTAATAATACAAAACCTTTACAGGCTAATCTGATGTGTTCAATTCAGTAAGAACGGCATTGTGCGACTGCTAGGTAAATCCTTTTTTGTGTTAGAACAATAGCTTTAAGCTATTGCAGAAGCTTTCAATAACTGCCCAACTGTGGTTGCTTGCTATTTGTTTTGCACCCTGGTTTACAAATGGTCTGGGGGTAGATGCCACCTACTTCCAAAGGGTCACCACTGGGTGTCTTCTGGCACGCTGCTGTATCAATACTGTGCCACCTCCACCAACACAAAGGTCTAGTGTCAGCCTGCTATAAGCCTGTTGTGTTTCTTCCTCTAAACAAATCAGTAGTTTTTAATTTTAAGGATGGAGGGAATTGTATACTACTGGCTTTGACTCTGCTTTTTGTTTATGTTTTCACTTGGATGCATTAAGTAGGTCTACATTTGTAGATCAATATGAAGTCTACTGTAACATATGTCATTCTCTTTATGATTCATTCACTTACTGTAAACTGTGACAGATTAGTTATACGTTTGCTATTTTTATACACTATTTTGTGCAAATTACTGACACAAAAAAGACAAAAATAAGCAAACAATAAAATTATTTCTAGTATTGTAACCAGAGAAAATTAAACCTCAATAGAAAAAGTAGTTGCATGCATGAAACTGTTTAAAAAGAGTGTTGTCATCTTCTTGATTTTATCACAGCTAGATTAAGAGATATTTTCTTTTACACATTTTAAGATAATCTCGCAGACTTTTGTCAAAACATTTGGGACCTATGTTTTTTTTTTAAATCTTTTTTATTTTATTTTGAATGTGCCACAACAAATTGTTTATCCTCTGACAATGTGTAAGGAGTATTTACTGTAGCTGTACCTACATGATGACAGAGCAGAAATAGCCTATTGATCAATGGAGCTTGACAGTTCTTACAAGTTCTCACTGATGCTTGAAAAGGAAGTGACAAAAACATGTGTATGAGACTACATACAGCACTTCCTTGACAAATATAATGTACAATATACTATATGCTACACTATGTGCTTTTGTATGCTGCGCACAGCACCATTGTTTATCATTTGAACATCACTATCAGGTATTCTGTCTACAAATTTGACCATTTGTAAGCTATTGCAACAACGGAATTGAAACACTATAAATAGTCAGTGTTACAATGATAATGACATAACACTATAGTAACTATAAAATACACTAGCTGCTTTCATTCATGATGTGACATTGGCCTTTGGATGCTCAATACCAAACATGCTTATGACCATAAGACAGATTTAATCTTGCAGATCTTTGTCCTATAAGCTTTCTGCACAAGGTAAGAGAGTATTTGCATTTACAACCGCATCGTGACGCTACAGCTGAACAGAGCCACACTGTCCAAAACAAACATCCTTTTTCTGCTGCTCTCCTCAGGCGCACCATGGAGTTTCTGTCCCTGAGTCTGGTCTTTCAGGCAGCTCTACTTGCCAGACCGCGTTCAACTTCACCCCGCCTCGTCCGCTACGATTGGCGGACGTGCACATCAACCATTCAGCCCTGTGCCTGGGAGGTTTGACCGAGGGAGAAACGTCCGCGTTTTTTCCTCGGTTTCCGGAAGATCTTTGTAGCCTTCCTAAAAGAAAGAAAATGGAATCCTGAAATCGCACTTCGCTAAACAGCCAGGCGCTTTTCGGAGAATACTAGAAGAACAACTGGGTTGTACGATTACACTGCTACTAACACCACTGAACAGGTAATGTAAGGTGGATTCGGTGACAGGCTGTCTCTTCCTCCTGATTACCTTTAATTTCAACAGCTAGCTCGTTTTAGCTTGTTTGCTCTGGTTGTGAACGTCACTGGTTGACGTCGTTGCCCAGCTAGCTAGCGGCGATGCTATCAGAATCACTTAATATATATTTATATTTTCTTTTAAACTAACATCCGCGTTTTTCCACGTGTGTCCGGTAACGACACACACCAAGTCCGGCGCGTTGTTTCAGCGACATTTGTCCCACACGGGTATTTACATCAAGTCAACACATAGCACTAAGTTGCAGGCTACGTTAGCGTTAGCTCGTGTTAAAAACCCCATTGGTAGTGAATGTGTGCGTTGGCCGCTCGGCTAGTGAACATGGGAGCTAACTAGCGCTAGCGCAGTGGAGGCTCAACACCACCGGGGTTGTTTGGTCTCGTTTTGAGCCGACGGTAAAAACCGGTTTCAAACTCACACCTTCAACAGCAGTGCACTGGCCTTACATGTTAGTCGACACACAGTGGGGCGACCCTCGACAACCAGCGGTGGTAGCCGTGTTACAATGCTAATGGGTAGCTACCGAGCTAACGTAAGCGCAGCTCGATGATGCCATTTTGTTTTTATCTCGACTTTGACCAACATACTGCTTTCCCGTTGCACTCAGGAGACACACAGACGCTCCTTTTATTCACAGTAGTAGTGGTTATTAAGCAGACGCGTTTATTGAACAGTGTGTTCGGGTTGTAACGCCACGGTGACCGCGGTGGCTTCAGCCAACCAGTGTTGCGTTTGTGGTAACTTATAGTCACTTTGCTTTGTAGTGGACGTGAACCGTGCTAACATTAGCCACTGGCTCGGTGTTCTCCTGTAATGTTGAGTTGTGAGGCTGTATTTTGACCCGAGTTTTCCCCCCTGATGACAATCTCCTGGTACATGGTTGCACGTTGGTTCGGCCATTACAATCATAGCTAACCCGACTGGAAATACTTAGAGGTGTTTACATGTGGCTTTGGTGATGAATCAGTGTTGCACAATGCTTTTTCCTAAACCTGAGTAGTCTTACAAGCCTAATTAAGTCTAATAATTAAATGTAGAGTTGACAAAAAAAAGTGCATGTCTATTATGTTACTGATATACATGTAATCTTTTTGTTTTTTTTTATTTATTTGCTTCAGCAGCTGGGTCTTGCTCAAGATTGGAGAACATCCCTCGACCTCTTCCCCCCTTCTGAATCAATGGAAGGGTCTGACAGTTTAGAGCAGAGTGGCAGTGACCAGCCAGAGTCTCAGCGCCGAAGGCAGCTGGACCGTCTGGGCAGGGAGGAGGCCTTCTATCAGTTTGTCAACAATCTCAGTGATGAGGACTATCGTCTCATGAGAGACAACAATCTTTTGGGCACTCCAGGTAATAAACCTTCAATCCAGTTGCGCTAATCTTTAGTCTTCTTGTGGCAGGAATCTGTGGCGGATGTATGATTTTT